CGTAATATACCGTCGCCCGGACCTCACGTATCTAGAGTAAGGAGCTATTTCGTCGCCTATTCTCTTAATATACTTAGTAAGTTCGATCTAGCGTTTATAGTTAACGGCGTAACGAGTAGTTATATTAAATAGAAAGAAGGTCTATAGCCTTTAACCGACGCTTTCTTAGTCGTACTTAAGCGTACGGACCCGCTAGTCCGAATAGGGGATAGTATTACGAGTAGCGTCGGCCTCGGTGTCGTAATACTCCTAGGACTAAAGGTCCTAGGATTAGGCGAGGTCACGGGAATCGAGTAGTTCTTAGGACCGCCGTCTAATAGCTTAATTTAGTTAATATTAGCTATATTTAGGTTAGCGGATAGGCCCCGGTTTTAGAGTACCGTCACGTAAGTAGCTAGGCCTAACTCTACGGGAGTTACGTAGGTAGCCGCTAGGGCGACTAGGTCGACCGTATCGACTACGTCGACCGGGTCGACTACGCCTACGTAGAGCTTAAGGTAGAAAGTTCTATATAATAATTGTAGTTTCCTTAGATAGAAGCTTTGTACTTAACTTATTATAGTAATAGTATATTAGCTATTTAACTTACTCTTATTATAACGAATAGATCTCTAAATCTATAAGTAATAATCTTATACCTACTTCTTAATATACTAACCTTATAATAACCCTAGTCTACCCCGGGTAGAACCGAATCGTTACACTACCGTTTATACCGACTTTAAAGAAGAAATTAAAGAAGAAAATTTAGAGGCTTTAGAAGCTTATAGACCTAAAGGATTACCGGCTATATACTAAGCGATTAACGATTAAATTAGAGAACTTAATATAGGTTAAAGGATTAGCTACTATTTATTAATCTAAATTATAAATTATAGGCCAAAATAGTAAGGTTTAGGTATATAGTAATTTTTTAAAGGTAGAGTAGTGTTTTTTAGTATTCTCGCTTAGCCTACCGGATCGCTATAGCCCTAACTCTTATATTTTCCTAGTTTTAAGTATTCTAGAAGAACTAAATAGCCGCGAGGGTTTGTCGAATAGTATCTATTCCCGCTCTATCTCTAGGTACCTAAAGTTGTTTTTCTCTATCTCCGGCCCTACTAAGGTATACCTTACCTTTATATTTGTATATTAGCCCTCTCTCGATATCTATTCTAAACTCTATATACTCTTTACGTATATAATCTATCGCTAAGTAATACTAATAATAGCTACCCTAACTAATCCTAGCTATATTAACGTTAACTACGCCTATTCCCTATATGTTTAGATATAGAGCCTACGACCTAGGTAGTCTACGGTTCTAATTCTAAGTTAGATATACGCTATTCTAATTTAGGCCCCTAGCCGGGTTAAACCGTTATTAACCTAATTATATACTAAAACTTAAAACTATCTTTTAAAATACTTCGGCTAATTTATTAACCTTCTTATCGAGTACTTTAGTTATATAGCTTACCTCCGACGGTACTTCTATTTTAACCTTAGAAGGCTTATTCGCCTTCCTCTCCCTTAGTTAGCTAATAATATCCTCTACGCCGAGTATAGTCTCTATATTATTAGAGAACTCCTTAATATTTTTCTTAGCGTTTATAAGGCTTATAGCCGTCTTAACTAGCTTATTAAACATAATCTTCTCTAGGTAGTTAGAGGACACCTTATTCTTACTAATTACTTTTACCCTTAGCGGTTTAGGTAGGCCCTATAAGAACTAACGACTCCTAGTATACTCCTCGATTATATATTTATTCTTTAAAATCCCCGAGATCCTTATAAATTACCTAACGTATACTATTATATCTAGTCCTATCTACCGCTTCTTATTCTTTAGCTTTTCTAAGAATATAATTAAGTTTATAATCTATATAGTATTATAGCCCTTAAACTTATACTTTATATTCTTCTTTAATTCTTTCTAATCCTTTAAAATATAGCCTAGTAGACTTTAAATCGTTTAACTATACTCGAGATTATAGTAGCGGTTAATTTAATTAAGCTTATCCTAGTCTGTTCGACTATTATTATTAAAGAGGTCTTTATAACAGTTAAGGAAAGTAGTAATATTTATACTATTAAAGATACGGAACCTGTCCGCTCTTAGTTAAGGTATTAGTAATACTATATATAAAATTAGCGTAACTACCGTAGTAGGTGCCGTTATTAAGGAGCCTATAGTATCGGATATACTTACTATATAAACTCTAACTTCTAGAATAGACGTTCTTAGTATCGGTAAAGGTAGCGATAGTAAGGCGTTATAGGTAATATTATTAAGTCTCTTAATTTCTTTATATAAATTACTTATTAGGTTTACGCTTATTAAGTTACAGACAATTCTATTTAGGTTTAAGATTAGTAAAAGTATTAGATTAAGAAGGAGTAAACTAGTTTATTAAATTAAGGTTATTTCTATTCTTTTAAAGCCCTCGGCCGCCGGGGACTCGTTAGATATAGGCGGCGACTAGCTATATATATAATTCCCTCTAGGCTTCTATTATATAGCTAAGTAATCTAAAACCTCTAGAAATTACCTCTTCCGCCTAATATTAGCCCTCTTAGCTATTTTAGGAAGTATAAGTTTCTAATCTAGTATACCGAAATAAGTCTCTACTACCTTTTTACTCTTAACTTTACTAGTTCTTAAGCTACTTAAAACTAGATTATTTAGAGTTAAATAAGTCTCGCTATTCTTAAATACTCTCTCTTTAGCTTTAAATTAAGAGGTTAATTAATAGATAAGTACAAAATTCTTTACTTATAAAACTCTATAACTCCTTAATATAATAATTAAATAAGTATTACTAAAGTGTTCTCTACGTAGGTTACTAATATAAACGAGGGGATATATATAATCTAGTATATAGTAAATATAAATAACTAAGATAATAAAAGAGGTAGTTTTTAATAAGTAAAGAAGATAATATTTTAAAGCTATCTAGTAACGAGCTAATATATAAACCCGGAATAGAATAACTATAACCCAGAATAAGTCTACTCTATTATAATAGTTAATATTAACTAAATTAAACTACTAGATAGCGGTTCTAGAAACTACTTAGTTTCTATAACCTCGCCTAATTCTAGGACCTTTAGTCCTAAGAGTATTACGACGCCGAGGCCGATACTACTCGTAATACTTAGTACCTATAAACTTATATTATTATAATTTTATATATTATATTTATAGTTATATATCTAGCTATTAACTAGTAATTAGCTAGCTAAAGATCTATAAACTAGCTATATTTAGTTTATAATATAATAACTAATATAAATAAAATATATATAATATATTTAAGTTAATTTTTCTTATTATTTCTTTTTATAAAAAATATTAGTATAAAGATACTATTTAACTTAAATAAGTTAAAGTATAGAGATATATAATAGTTAAGTTTTCTAGTCTTTTAGTCTTTAGAATTTAAAACTATTATTTATATTCTCTTCTTACTAGTTTTAAAGAACTAACTAGACCTTTACTTTATAACTTTATAAGAGTCTAGATTTTTATATAAATTAACTTCTTAGAAACTTAAAATAATAACTATCTAGATATTAGAATATTCTTAGTAGTAGTTTAATCTATTCTATATTTAATAGTTAAAGTACTTAAGCTATATCTCTAGTAAGATAGTAAGATATATAAGCTATAAAGATACTAGTATTCTATAAAATAGTCTTTTAAGTATTCTATAGATATAGCTTAATAAATAGAGGATTAGTTTATAACTAACTATAGAATACTATCTATAGTAAGAAGTATTTTATATTAATTATAGAGCTAGGTTACTTTCTATAAATTAAACTAGTATTTTTATATTTAATAAAGCAAAGGAATTATAATACTCTAATAAAATCCGTAGCCTAACGAGGCGAGCTTTCAGGAAGCAGAAGGCAGGCAGCAGTATATTTAACTGTGATAACAACATTAAGCAGAAACACGTACTACGCAAAGGCTCCCCATCATACTCCCCCAACTCTCCACCACCTTCTACCACCCTCCCGCTCCCAAATTGGGCAGCCAACAACTTCGCCGTCAGCGCCACGTTCCCCGATACTCCCCTCGTCCTTGATGTCGTCGCCCGGATCGCCCTCAACAACATAACAAACAACTTCCGGCATCAAAAGCATCATCTTGAGATATCTTAGCACCGAGTTTCGGTAAGCAACCCAATTGGTCTCCATGTTTCGGTTGCAGAAACATTCCAGCGCGTCTGTGAGGTTACAGAGTGCTTCGGTTGTTGCGATAGATGAGATGTCTTGGAACCGGTAGTGTCGTAGATGCATATCTGTAGCTGAACACATCTGGTTTGAGGTTCGTAAGTGGGCTTATCGTGAGATCGAGTAGCACGTAGCAATGTAAGGCATAAACCTCATCAAGCAAAAAAAACGAACATGAGAACGATTTATTGTTAGCTTTACGCTGGTTGCTTCATATAGCTAGCCTACATAAGAAGGCGGCGGTATGATCGTTGTGGCCCCAACTCTGAATATGTAACCTCAGCTGATTCCCGGTTTCTCAAGAGAGTCGAAATGACACCTCGAAAACGGGCGCCCAGCAACGGGTGGTCTCATCTTCGCACAGAGCGAAAACAGCAATCCTTGCGGGGAAGAAAAAGAAGCTGCCGTTAAGTAATTTGATTTACTGGCGATGTTGGAAGAGAAAAGGAACTGAGAAGACACGAAAATCTGTTTGTCCTGTGGGTGGCCGGTGCACCATCCTAGCGCGGGAGCCTCAGGACGTCAAGGGCCACAACCAAACCCAGAAGGCCATGTCGATTGAACAGAACAGATTGCCACGAGTCAATATTACGACGTTCCAGGAATCATTCCGCAGGCCATTCCAACCCACGCTCGCCCGCCTTTTTTGACCAGATACCTAGATCTCTTTCAGGAACCTTCCGCATTTTGATTCCATTGCGATACATATTCGAAAGCAAACGCCTTACAGGCGCAACATTGCTTGCGACTCTCCTTGTTAGTTAAAAGCATCTGGAGCGATGGATATCGAGGCATTGAAAGAGCAGGTACGTCCGATGGATGATATCTGGCTCGCTATCTGGTACTAACGTCTTCGGCAGTGGTCTGAAGTGGAAGATAGAGATGGACTTCGTCTGAGTTGGAATGTTTTCCCCAGCTCCCGTATGGTTAGTGCCACATGTCGAAGACCCGGCCATCGCTGAACTAGCCATAGGAGGCATCTCGACTGGTTGTACCTATCGGAGCACTCTACACGCCTCTGAAAGAGAAGCCTGATACACCAATACTGCAGTTCGATCCAGTGAGTTGCAAACAGCCATGTCGCTCGATTCTAAATCCATTTTGGCAAGTCCCCAAGTCACTGAAACATGCGCCAAATGTCTGACTGGATTTGTAGTCAAGTAGACGTCCGGGCACGTCTCTGGATTTGTCCCTTCTGCCTCTCCCGAAATCCTCTCCCACCTCACTATAAAGATATTACGGCAAATGCAATCCCCCCCGAGCTGCACCCATCCAATACGACAATTGAGTACAGGATGTCGCGTCCTGCTCCAAGTCCTCCAATTTTCCTATACGTTGTTGATACTTGTCAAGAAGAAGACAGCTTGTCTGCCCTGAAGGAATCCCTAGTTATGAGCTTGAGCCTTTTGCCGGAGAATGCACTGGTCGGTCTGGTGACATTCGGAACAATGGTAGGGCTTATGCCATAAGATCTCATGAGTTCAGGCGCTGATTCATAACTAGGCACAAGTTCACGAAATTGGTTACACAGAATGTCCCAAGTCATATGTGTTCCGAGGAAGCAAAGAATATACCGCCAAGCAGGTTCAAGAGATGCTCGGGCTTTTATCCCCTGGACTGAGACCCGGCATGCAACAGCAGCAACCTGGCCGACCTATGCCGCCAATGGGGCCTGCTGCTCGATTTCTTCTCCCAGTCTCCCAGTGTGAATTCCAACTCACCAAAGCTCTAGAACAACTGCAAAAAGACCCTTGGCCCGTCGCAGCTGATAGGAGGAATTTGCGGTGTACAGGTGTCGCGCTGAGCGTAGCTGTAGGCTTGCTGGAGTCGTCTTTCCAAAATGCGGGAGGACGTATTATGCTTTTTGCGGGAGGCCCTGCTACCGAAGGCCCTGGTTTGGTGGTTGGACCAGAGCTGAGGGAACCCATACGCTCGCACCACGATATTGATCGCGACAATATCAAATACTACAAGAAAGCTCTCAAGGTGAGCCCGCAACGTCAAATTTACTAGCGTCCACTGATTTTTGCAGTTTTATGACAATCTCGCTAAGAGGACTGCTCACAACGGGCACATTATTGACATATTTGCTGGATGTCTGGATCAAGTTGGTTTACTTGAGATGAAAGGACTCTCTAACTCCACTGGGGGTCATATGGTTCTTACAGATAGTTTCACGTCCTCTATGTTCAAGCAGTCATTTGTTCGTGTCTTTGAAAAAGATGGCGATGACAATCTCCTCATGGGGTTCAATGCGTCTCTCGAGGTACTCACTACGAAAGAACTGAAAGTCACTGGCTTGATTGGCCATGCCGTGTCAATGAACAAGAAGTCAACATCGGTAGGAGAGACCGAATGTGGAATTGGAAATACGTGCTCCTGGAAGATGTGTGGAATCGACCCAAACGCAAGTTATGGAATTTACTTCGAAATTGCAAGCCAAGGTGGCCCTGCTCAACACCAGCAGACCCCGCAAAAGGGAATGATGCAGTTCCTAACCTACTATCAGCATTCCTCTGGGCAGTTCCATCTCCGCGTCACCACGGTCTCTCGAAATCTAAGCGGACCCGCAGGGGATCCAGCAATCGCACAGTCTTTCGACCAAGAAGCAGCTGCGGTCCTGATGTCTCGAATTGCTGTTTTCAAAGCTGAGGTTGACGACGGGCCAGATGTGTTGCGCTGGGTAGATCGTATGCTGATACGATTATGTTCACGTTTTGCGGATTACCGGAAAGACGACCCATCCTCCTTCCGGCTAGAAAAAAACTTCACTCTTTATCCCCAATTCATGTTTCACTTGCGGAGAAGTCAATTCCTTCAGGTTTTCAACAACTCGCCGGATGAAACAGCGTTTTATAGACATGTTCTTAACCACGAAGACGTCAGCAACTCCCTTATTATGATCCAGCCAACCCTTGACTCATACACCTTTGATCAAGATGGCAGCCAACCTGTGTTGCTGGACTCCACCTCCATTCAACCGACGCATATTTTACTACTAGACACGTTCTTCCATATTTTAATTTTCCATGGTGAGACTGTAGCGGAGTGGAGAAAAGCGGGTTACCAAGAACAGGAGGGTTATGAGAATTTTGCGGGACTTCTGGAGCTACCGAAGGAGGATGCCAGAGTATGTTCGCCAACTCACCTTGATGCCAATTTTAACCAATGCAATATAGGACTTAATTACCGATCGATTCCCGCTCCCTCGTTTTATCGTATGCGACGCTGGCGGATCGCAGGCCAGATTTCTATTGTCTAAGCTGAATCCTTCCACTACGCACACAACAGGATACGGCGGTGTCGGTGCTCAAACTGCACAGACAATATTTACTGACGATGTCTCTTTGCAAACTTTCATGGACCATTTGATGAAGTAAGTGATATCATGATGCTTGAAACGCCTGCAAATAAATACTGACCACATCATAGACTTGCCGTGAGTGGGACGAATTGAATGAGCAATTCCATCACACGATCGTCCTATCTGTGGCCGTCCGTGGTTACACCACACGCGCGTTGCCCAGAAATTCCAGCGTGTGTAAAATTATCCATACCACACTTCTCTCCGCCCATCAAGAGATCGGAAAAGCATAGAATATTCTCTAGACAATGGGGGGATAAAGGAAGCATGTTGAGCGGAGACACTGGGATTGTTGACCACATGACTTTGGTCATATCGTACGACAGTGGAGGCTGGAATATGATACACTTCTAGATGGCAAATGTCCGTGTCGCCAGGCGCTGATTGCCGGAAATGGAGGCTGTCATATGGTTGAATCGGTCATAATCCATAGATCTGTATAATTTGACGTCCTCAGTCGTTACTCACCAGTTCCAAGGCCTAATTCTGTACTGGCATGAGTGAAAAACCGGAATTGTTACTTCGGCATAAAAGTCTTGCAACATCAAAGTTACAATAGCGAGACCCTTAGAGGGCGGTGACTAATTGTTTAGTACTTAGCAGTATACCAAGTGCCTTTCTCGTGAAGCACTTTAAAGTTGGCGTGAGTAAACTAAATATTCTAAGAATTCGAGTACTTCTCACTTAATACACCTTAGCTTGGTAAAGCATTATGGGTGACTATAAAGTTACATATCATCTCAAAATGTAGGTTAGGCGCACGCTTAACCCAACTACTACTTTTATTGTCCTCCGCAAGGCTTTTTACCTGCTGCTGATCTGAAGTCACTGTTTCCCGTCGGGCCCGTAAAAGTGTTAGGTTCAAGCCTTGTGGCCTTAAATGATTACATAATTGGTCGTGTAGCTAAGCGAGCTTCTACCCACACAGAAACTTTGCATGCCAAAAAGTTCGCGACAACTTTCTTGAATAAACCACGAAGTTCACCGTTCGGACTACATCATGCGTAAGTTATATGATTTCGTACCACAAAGATCATCCCGCTGACCAAATTCTTTACAGCTCCAAAGATAGACCCCAATGAGATCAAGGTGATGTGAGTGTCCGCATACAACCGTACCCCTCCTCCCAGCACGAAATTTATCGAGCAAAGTTGGCCGATTTGCAACAAACTGCGACTGACATCTTTCAACATAGCCACCTTAGAGCTACCGGAGGCGAGGTTGGAGCCTCCTCCGCGTTGGCACCTAAAATCGGTCCTCTCGGTCTGTCGCCCAAAAAGGTTGGAGAAGATATTGCGAAGGCGACTGGTGACTGGGTATGTCGGCACATCTAGGACGATGACGGAAACGTCGATTCTAATTGTGCCAACAGAAAGGTCTCCGAGTTACTGTGAAGCTCACCATTCAAAATCGACAAGCTGCTGTATCCGTCGTACCATCCGCATCCTCTCTGGTGATCAAAGCCCTCAAGGAGCCACCACGCGACCGAAAGAAGGAAAAGAACATCAAGCACTCCAAGTCTATTCCGCTAGATGAGATTATTGAGATCGCACGAACGATGAGATTCAAGTCCTTGTCGAAGGAGCTTAAGGGTACGGTCAAGGAGATTCTCGGCACTGCGTACAGCGTCGGCTGCCAGGTTGACGGAAGAAGTCCAAAAGACATTAGTGACGATATTGAGAGTGGAGAGATTGAGAGTATGCCTCTGCCACCTGCTTTATGGCTCCATCGCCTGCTAACGCATAATTTAGTTCCTGATGAGTAAATAACGAACATGGATTTCTTTGCATGGTATTGATGGCGCAAAACTTGGTAATAGGCTGTGCAAGCAATAGCAATGCTACATCCATAACTTCTGTCTTATAATTGCATCGTTGTTTCTGAACGCGCATATGTTCGAATGTCTGTAGGTGAGCCACGCAGCACTGGGTGCTACCTTGCCAAACACTCTGGCCATTAGCCCCTTTCCCTTGAGGACTGGTTCAATCTGTGCTTTTGGCCTATTTTTGGAGCAAGGAGATCAAATGTCCCTATACTCACCGCACTGTCTTTCTCTTCCAATAGACTTTGAGGTCCATTCATAACTTGGACAAAATGCTATCAGTATAACTAAAATGTATGATTTGGAGATTAAGCTAATCCCTTGGCTGCTGACCTAGTTTGTAGTCAGCTTGGAAATTGATGACGAACTCGTTGGGACGAGCAATTACTAGGTAGCTTCTCGAGCATTAACTAAGTTCTAACTCGCCCTAAAAATCTGTTTAATTGTGCTAGTGAAAATGACCTAAAGTATTAGCCTTTCAAGAAAATATCAACTCTTACGCCCATAACATTATCAATCTTCAGTTTTCCGCCCAAGTCTTATTAAGCTTGTATTTGCATCCCTACAGCCCCACGGTCTATGTAAGACTTTTTGTTGCTGCTGACAAGCGCGCGTCTAAGCCTCCGATATGCCAATAAACACATCGCAAGAACATCCGTGGATTGCAACCTGCCATACGCTATCCCTACGCGGGCTTGATAGCATATCGTTTTCCCAGACAAACCGACCTCGAGAAGTCTCGCAGTGGAAATCTACGACGCCCATATTGGGCTGCGGCGCACCACGGCGAGATGATCAACAGATCAGACTCTATCCTCCTTCGTGCAGGTATCGGCACCTCTTGGAACTGATGACCTGACGCAGACCAGCATTTTGGACAGTCGCTCCCGATCACATATTGTTGCTTGCTTTTCCCCTCACGCTCCGCTGTTCTCACCGCTGTAGGCATATGAACATGATTCCCCAGCTGGCCCACCATCCACGATATCTTTCCGAGCAACGGTTGGGCGGACCCGACTTCACGATCCCGCCTTTTCAGACCCGCGCACTTCCTCCCCCAAGTCAGCGAAGACTCGAGACTCCTGCGCCTCTGCCAATCCGGAGCCTGCGAGAATCTATCTCTCCTGCGATTTCTACGCCTTCCCCGCGCACGTATGCTCTTGATAGCTACGTACCCCGCCGAGCAGGGCTGGCTCGGGAAAGCTCTTCTGAGCGGGCGTTTCGTTCTCCATACAATGACCCGTCAGAGCACATGCTTCGCCGGAAGACACCAAATGGCACTCTAGCAGCAGGGTACGACGGCACTCCAGTACAATGGTCCAGCAAAGCGCCCGCGTTAAAACACGTTGTACTGCCTTTATCAGCGGCCCCGTCCGGTCGTAGCCACGCGTATCCTCCAGCAAGCAACGACCAGTATCAACGCATCCCCCCCCCAGTTCCTAGCTGGAGCAATGAGATCGCACACGTACGCTATAGGGGACTAAGTCTCCAGGGAGAGCAGAGTGGCAACAGAGACCATGGACACCGTGCAGGTTACTCTGTGGAGCCTGTAAATGTTCACGATGGTTGGGACAATATCAGGATGCCTCCAAATCATACATACTATTCGGGGAATACCACTCGAGTTCCAACTGTCCTTCAACCAGCTTACCAGGCGTCACCTGGGCCAACAGCATCCAACGACGGTGGACTCTACGGACCCTACTGGCCAGATGGAAGGTTCGTTCCCTACCGCCCAGCGGCTTTTCAGGGCCAAGGTGGACACAACCAAGAATCATACTCACGTAGCGGTTTCCACGATACTGGACACTCATTAGAACCTTTCTCACCCACCCGTTCCATGCCTTCAAACACCGACACCAACCACAGGGCAAGTGGCACACCTTACTCAAACCACTCTAATTTTCACAAGGTACCTTTGGATACGCGACATGATGTTCATAGCCATTTCTCGATCGACTCTGCCTTTTATGCATCGATGGGCGAAGGATGCAGGACCCCGAGCGCAGAGTCATCAAATAGAGCCAGTAGCCATCGGTTTCGAGAGAAGACTCTTTCCTGGGCACACACCATATATGTTGAGCTTCTAGCTTTCCTTCATCAATCAAAGAAGGAGGCAAAACTATTAAACCCTTCGCAAGGCCCCAAGCCATATTCAAAGACAAGCATTTATCCAAAGCCACCAAGACAGCCTGCACCGTATCCAGGTGTCTCACATTGGGCACGGCTCAGTTCGAAAGTTGGGGAATACAATAATGTGCGTAGTGATCTGAGCAGCGGTCTGAGGGCACCCCAAGCTGCACCGTCGATACAAAATTACGATGTGTGGCAGAATACAGAACTCAGAGATCCACTGAAACAACCAAGTCCTCACGATCCATATGCATCTCATGTACAAATACCCCAATATCCTAGAGTTTCTCCGGCTGCCAAGGCCAAGGAGGCCCTGGAACTTCTTACGAATCTGTGTGAGCAAAGTGGTTGGAACTGGATTGATGGCATGCTTCTTGGTGGCTGTTTAGCATATGGGCTGGAGGAATATGAAAACGCTTTAGACTGGTACTCAAAAATCATTGCTCTTGACTCCAAGTAAGTTACCAGCGTAGTAACCGGAGCCGAAGCTAATTTTGCCATAGGCACGTGGAAGCGATCTCAAATCTTGCAGCTACTCTACTTTGCTTGAATAGACGCAAAGAAGCCGAAGAGCATTGGCTTCAATCCGTCAGACTTCGTCCGAGCTATTTTGAGGCGGTCGAACATTTAATTGGCCTCCTCTGTGGAAATAACCGCGGCGAAGAAGCGGTTAACATCATTGACTTCGTTCAGAGATCGCTCAGGCTGCCAAAGCCCGATGATGCACATGACCAAGCTAGCGAAACCTCGAGTAATACGGATCGAGAGTCTTTTGAATTCATAGATACATCATCGGAAAGTATTGCTCTTGACTATGAGCGTGACTGTGAGAGCTTGTTCTATTCCCCTTTTGTCCGGAATGATGAGGACCATTCCGTCGAACCAGGTTTCGGATCCAGTGGTTTCTCTGTACCAGGCTCGGAAAATGGCAGAATCCTTGCCTTGGTTCACGCAAAAGGCAACATGTTATACGCACTGGGAGATATAGGAGCCGCGTCCCGCGCCTTCGAAGATGCCGTACTTATCAGCGCAGGCCAAACATATGTGGGAATACAAGGTCTTATCCGTCAAATTGTGAACGTGCTTTCGAGAGAAGGCTCCATTGGTACAGCATTCGCCTTGAGAAATCCTACGGTAGTGGATACACCACTTCCGTTATTGCTGCCGCCTGACCAAGCTCTTCAGACCGCAAGACTAGTTTTCACCAACAATGGAGAACTCCCAGGACTTCGTTTCGTTCCAGGAGGGCTAGCTAAAAAGGCTGCCATATCTACTACCAGCAACTCTCTTCTGTCACTTGCCAAGATATTTCAAGACGCCATGTCAAGTAGCAATTCTTCTCAAAGGATCGCACGAATGCCATCGGGCGTTGGTGATATTCTAGCACTCTATTACTTGTCACTCTCGCTGCAACCAAGTCCTTCGACGGCCAACAATGTAGGGATTCTTCTCGCGGGCGTGCAGCAACCTGCAAATCTCCGAGGGTATGCGCAGAGAGATACCGCAGCCCTCCCAGCCCTACCAGGAATTGTTCCTGGCAGCGGTGTTGCTTTGGCGCTTGCTTACTACAACTACGGCTTGAATCTGGACAATCGACACGCCCATATATATACGAACCTAGGCAGTCTTTTCAAGGATATTGGACATCTTGGTTCTGCTATTAGCATGTACGAAAAGGCAGTTGCTTGCGATAGTTCATTCGATATCGCGCTGGCCAATCTAGCAAACGCCGTGAAGGACCAAGGCAGAACAAGTGATGCAATTGAATACTACCGTCGAGCTGTTGCGGCAAGTCCAGACTTCGCAGAAGCAGTATGTGGTCTTGCAAACGCTCTAAATTCTGTATGTGATTGGGCTGGACGTGGTGGTGTGGTTTTGGACCATGGAAAGCAGGATCGCTGGCATGTCGATGAAAAAGGAATGCTTGCCGAGTCAAAAATGAATGCTCTCGGTGGTGGTTGGATGAAGTCGGTTGTTGATATAGTAGCAAAACAGCTCAAGGATGGCTCAACGTGGGGCCGTGGCACACTTCAAGGTCAGGTCTTTGAACAACTCTTCCGGCAGTTGGAAATAGCAGATACGGGAAGCCTCTGGCTCCCGGAAAAGAGGGCAAACATGCAAAACACTCTCGGAAAATGGGCTGGCTGTGAATGGGAGGGGTCCCGTATTGTGCGGCTGATTGAAAGATCCACGAAAAGAGCAATGCATCGATGGTACCAAGATAAGTACGTCAAGAAGAATATTCTTCCGGCATCTTACTATCCTCGCGCTCTTGTCCCGGCCAGTCTGTCTGTTCCTACTGCACCAACAGTTCTACCCTTCCACACGTTTACTTGTCCGCTGTCAGCCAAGGATATACGAATGATCTCGCAACGAAACGCTTTAAGGATATCATGCTCGACTTTGCGAGCGCCTTGGATGCCCACGTCGGTCTTTCCGCCGCCGCCACCTCCCTCGCCTTGTTTAAACATTGGCTATATTTCGTCCGACTTCAATAACCACCCTTTGGCCCATTTGTAAGTGTGTCTCTATAAATACCTTCCGTTTATCGCTAACAGCTTTTTTCTCCCCAGAATGCAGTCTGTTTTCGGATTTCATGATACATTGCGTGCTAAAGCATTTTGCTATGCGACTACGGCAAGCGATAGCTCAATACACAGGCACCAAATTGAGCGTGAAGCTCCTGTCTTTTACGACGCGAGCTCATGGCCGGTGGATCGCTTAGTACAGCAAATCGTGAAGGACGAAATACATATACTCGTGAACTTGAATGGATATACAAGGGGAGCTCGAAATGAAGTATTTGCGGCACGTCCTGCTCCAATTCAAATGTCGTTCATGGGATTTGCAGGCACACTCGGCGCTGAATGGTGCGATTATATATTGGCTGATGAGATGGCGGTGCCTCCCGAGACGTTACGTCCGTGGAGACGAAACCTAGATCTCGAGGACCAGTTGCTCGATCATCAATCTCAGCAGGATGAAAATTGGGTGTATTCGGAGAACATAATATTCTGTCGGGATACCTTTTTCTGCTGCGACCACGCTCAGTCAGAACCTCCGGGGCAGCGGCTCACATGGGAAGAAGAACAAAGCAAAAGGTGGCAAATGCGAAAGGAGCTGTTTCCGAGTTTACCAGACAACACTATTATACTTGGAAATTTTAACCAGTTATACAAAGTTAGTCATGAGTTGCCAGACGGCTGTAATAATTGCTAACCTGCCCAGATTGAACCAACAACATTTCGGAGCTGGCTCAGAATTTTGGATCAAGTTCCGAACGCAGTTCTATGGCTTCTGCGCTTCCCTGACTTGGGCGAAGTTAATCTGAGACGTACCGCGGAGGCCTGGGCTGGAGAAAGTGTCGCATCTCGTATCATGTTCACCAATGTGGCGCCAAAAAATTTGCACATATCCCGTGCACGAATATGTGATCTTTTTTTGGATACTCCGGAGTGCAATGCGCACACAACAGCCGCCGACGTCCTGTGGTCAAGCACGCCGCTTCTCACTCTGCCGCGGTACAAGTACAAGATGTGTTCACGTATGGCTGCATCCATTTTGACAGGGGCACTCCCGCGTGGTGAGGAGGGGCGACGGGCAGCGGAAGAGCTTATTGCGAAAGATGATGATCAATATGAGGAATTTGCTACGAAACTAGCGGGGAGTCTGGATTATCAACTATTACCTTCTGGGGAATATAGAGGCGTTGGTAGACTTGCGCAACTCCGAAGACTGCTATTCGATAGCCGATGGAGTTGTGCTCTGTTCGACACCAAAAGATGGGTCAGAGACCTGGAGTCCGCTTACGAGGAAGCCTGGCGAAAATGGGTCTCAAATGAAGGTGGCGATATCTACCTATAGATCTCCGATGGTGTAATCTCTTTTATATAGTGTCGACATGTAACGCTGCGGCGCAGGCGTTCGTTGGGAAGATCATGGTGGTTGGTATAAGATGGGCTAATTTTGTTGGAGTATGGGCGAGATGTTACACTGCTGATCGTTTTGGCTAGATACCCCATTCAGTTGTGCAGACGCACGGGGAGTTTCCTACATTTCATTGCATAATAGACTATGGCGCAGGCAACTTCAATGATTAAGCATCTTACTTGAACACATTTGGCATCCAGATTTATTAGCATATCATAGGTCTCCGCCGACAACCTTACCCCCTAGTGCACACCTAGAGTAATCAAGAGTCGTCTAGTTAGGAGTCTTGAAACTCGTGCTTTTCCGTCTCTGACCTTCTCAACAACGGTGTACCGCAGATGTGACGGAACACCTCATTGGACGGAATAGCTATACCCTGCCCGAAACGCTACAAAGACTCAATTCAGTAGAGTAAATATACAACACTGTCTATATGAACGGAAAAGGCTAAATGTACCTCTTAGGAGAGGAGCGTCGAAAATGTTTTCCTAACATTGTTATACTTGGTGGAAGTCCCATCAGTCTTGCAATGTCTTGCGATGCACTGGTGCACCAATTTTGACCAAAAAAACAGCTTTCCTCAGAAACACTCTAGGACAAGAGCTGCGGAAACGCGACGTATGCCATAATTTCATGCAAAAAACGCAAACTAGGTGAGATTTTTCTTATCTTTTAAACGTTAAAGCCAAAGCCATCCTCTAGCCATTCACATGTAGCTTTTCATTAGATGTTTTGTCGATCGCTCATCTCCACGCGGCTGTGGACTATGATTTATCTTCCTCGTCACCTAACGCATTGCGTTCGTTTCCATGTACCCAACTCGACCTTGAAGAACAATTCCACTTGCATAATTTCAAGCAGCTAGCTCTGGTCTGCTACGCCGCTTTTGAAATTAGATAGGGTTCTAAGAAATTATTTGCAGTTCTGAAAATGATGACGCAGGTATAGATGTAACGTATTCCCATCTCAATCAGCCATGCTAAGTTTTGCCGACCTCGCGGCGGACAAAACAGTGACAGGCGGAACACGATAGTTGCTCTGAACAATTGACCGAATATCGTATAGTTAGTTAATTAACTTGGTACACTATCACATATTTCGTCAATGACATTAAGCAAACGACGCCTTCCTGGTCTCCATCAGAAGTCGACTTGTCGATCTAAAGACTAATGACTGACACTTCTCTTGTCCTCCACACGAGACGACCCAGCAAGGCACTTCGTAATTTCAATAAGCATGAGATTTCCACATCACACACAGTACATGGAATTGCGTGAATTGCCATAGGAGCCAAAAACGCATTGGGGTGGTTGATATTCCAGAATCGGTCCACGTCCTTCTTTGAATTGTTTAATGCCGCCACGTTTCTAAGTTCATCATTATACAAAACATCTCAATAGCAAATAGTGGATAGCATGCTATAATATACGTATTACTATTGTGCCAGTTATCTTGTAGGTGATGTTTCTGAAGCCTTGTATTATTATCCCTTAGCCTATTGGCTAGATCAGGCCGTCTTGTATTTCCTAGACATTATAGCAGAGAGTTTGTCAAAACAGCTAATCCATACTTACTCAGAACGTCCTATGTGAATTATCTGATAAACTAAGATGTTTGCAATCTCCTACATACAGTGTGGAACCCACCCCGTCACGGATTCGTCACGGACTCCGATAAAAAGAAAGGCGTCTGATGGGAATAAAAAAACAAACACACCACACCGATCAATACCTGTTTGTTGCAAGGTGGTAGATCATCGGGTGTCAAGAGCAATACTTAAGCCCATGTCTTCTTGATTCTCGCTCCGTTCCGCCCATTCAAATGCTTTGGCGCAAAGTTGTAACCCTTCAGGAAAATTCGGCCGCATTCACCTTACACACCTTACGCCTCACAGCCTATGATCAGGCCCATCGACCGGCGTACAATTGATATGCAGCTATTCTCGGTCGGTGAATCTGTACGGATGAGCCTAGGAAATTCCCTTTTCATCTCAACACCGGCGTGTATTACCGGGTAGCACTCCATAGTCGCCAGGTTCCGAAAAAGTAATAATCGCCCAGCCACTTTACAAGTCATCGCTGATATCGTTCTCTATGGGGTCTAGTCTAGCTTACTCTTGAATATCTGAAGGGTCTCTCTTGTGTAGATGTGGGCAAGTAACACTATGTCGTCAACAAGGTGCTCTACTCTTAACCTTCATCACTAAGCTATCTCTTGTTCCTCGAGCTGCTGACCAAGACCTTGCGTACAAACACACTTATGCCTAATTTCAGTGAATATAGACATTTGGTTAGATAAGGCCAACTCCATTGACATAAATGGCGAAATTCGCAATCTACTCAGCTGCCTTTTACAGTCAGTAACTGGCGTGTTCAGAGAAGGCTCGTTATTTCTGCTCGAACGTGTACGCCCGAATTTCACCCTTCAGACCTAAACTACTCGTTTCTGGTAGTCACTGTGGTATTAGATATCACATCTACAAACACTTGGGAATGAAAGAACAAGGCTTTCTGGTATAGTACTGTATTGACATCTATTATGAAGAGTATTTATGTCTGTGAAAACGATAGTAGATACAAAGACCGTATAAGACATTGGTATATGAGGAAGGGTATCTGCAAAACATAGGATATACAAAGAATCAAAAGGCGCTAAGCCTTATCGCCCCCAACATCAACACGAATAATGGAGGCAGCGCCCAACAGATTAACAAATATTCGTAGCGCATAGAACTCCTTTTTCGCTGCAGTATAACGTAGCCGACAAGCGCATAAAACCCAAACGATTGAATAGCCTCCCATTTTGCCCACCCCCCCCAAAAAGCGTAACAAGACAAATGATAAAATACAGCAAGAGTTAACCCAGCAGCGAAGACAGGTGCATTCTCGAATCCCTTTCGGCTGATGGCTCAGAGTAAACAGGACGTGGGACCATCTGAAGAGGTGGAAGTTGAACTGGTGCGGATACAGGCTTCGTCGAATACATTCGACGGTCTGCTTGATCTCGGGAAAGAACCTCCACACCGTACGACGCAACTGGGTAAACTGAAGGGTAGCAGTTGCTCGAGTGACTCTTGAATTCGCTGTGAATTCGTTGAGTAAAGATGTGACCTAGAGCATCGTGCTCGCTGCGGAGTGGACTCGGAGGCGGGAAATGAAGCATTGGCAAGCTGGGTCTCCTGGCATCACTCCTTGCGTATCCTGCGAGAGGAGGTAGTTCAAGTCGGGGTGAGATTGCTAGACGAGGGGACACGGAGAAAGTAGAGCCATTGTCAGACACAAGTGATGGAGGCTCGTCCATAGACTCGGTCATCGACATCTCCGATGCTGCTGGGGATGGCAGCGAGCCGTCGCCGCGCCGTGGAGAATAAGAAGAATATGTTATCATGAGCTGTCGGCTGTTTGTTGGTCTGGCGAATGTCGGCTGCTGGTCTTTGTCTTCGAACGCTGGTGGGCACGATCCAGATGGCCTTCTTCGGAGAACTACACGGCGCCGTCTGTTCATGCTTCCATTCCACCAGTTCTTGACGGCGTTGTCGCTTCGCCCGTGAAGCCTTCTAGCAATCTCCGCCCACCTCTTTCCCATCTCCCCAACTAGTCTCTCAATCTGTAGTCCTTCTTCTGGGCTGATGGGTTCATGGTTGAGCGATGGCTTTAGATTTTGGTGATAACGCTCTCGACATTGTTTTGGGGAGCGAGACCCGATGAGTTGCGCAATTCTTACCCAGTTCAATGCTCCCTGTGTGTGGACAAGCTGGACGAGATATGAATCTTCCGTCTGAGACCACGGTCCTCTTCGATGTGAAGACATGCTGACACGTTGATGTCCGAAATAGTGAGGAAAGTGTACGGATATATGAATCGTCTTCGATGATTGAGAGAAACCTTGCAACCAGTCGATGCCCGTCGCTCAAACTTACGATGATCCTCGATGATCTTTTGAGGTCAGGCGTTTGAAGCTTGCGAGCTTGTAGTGCGATTACCGAACCTTCTTAAAGCCTTTTCGGCGACGAATAAGACGGACCGCTCCGAGTTTCGAGATGATCGAAAGCAGTTAGGTATATACAGGAGCGCTTCTAGTTGGAGGCGTATTGTCTAAGTACACCGCGAGTAAATCAAGCCTTAGGTCTTTTTGGTGACTTTGACGTGGCTGAATATCGTAGGGTGGTCGGCGATGTTGAGCTAATGCACCAAGCAATACTTTTGCAAGCCGTATGGAGATTTGAGAGACTTGGAGACGGTGATGTCGGTAACAGTAGATGCTAGTTGTATGTACAGTTTCGAGAAGCACGGGAGTTTAGAAGAGGAAGATGATGATCGGACGTCAGTGAGACCATATACCGGACTAAGAAGTGGTAGCCACGGCTCGCAGCGAGGAGTACTAATCGTGTTGAGCGTGCTACCGTGGGGGAGCTGGGTGAAGATGTGGCCAGCGCGCAAGCCCAGTGCAACGATGTGGCCTACAGCCAGGGAAATCAGGGATGATGGTAGGGCAGGGGTTAGCGGAGGCCAACTCGGAGAGAGGGATAGGGAGGTCCTTGAGAGAGGGACAGGACAGGCCCAGGTCAGAGCAAGGGTGACTGGTATATTGGAATATGACGATCAAGAGCCGAGTCGGTCAGGAGCAGACGGGACGGGCAGAACGCCAGTTGGAGGGGAATATGGAATATGGGCGTGATGAGCCTCCAGGCTGGCACAGGCCTTCCTGGAAGATCTCTTCTTGCTTTTGGTAACCTTTTTTCGGGGTGTTTGTGAGAAGTGCTTGTTGATGATACCATTACCCTCTGACAGCAACGGTAAACAGATGTCGTCCACTAGTCGCTCTCCAAATCGTTCCGAGGGATCGAAGGCGGTCGATGTGGGTTCTAAGAGAGCGGGCGGTACTCGTTCAACAACAGAAGACTTATGTGTCGTTATTGGTATCAAACGTACATTAGTGTCTGGTAAGTGTGTGATGGTCTGGCTCGACGCAGTTCGATGTTGAGAAGGAACGAAAAACCCCAAGAATGGGAAGAAAGTGGAGAGCGATGCTAAAGTAGTTCGGCACAAGAAACATACTTTTGAAGTAGTGTTTCTCTTCGATCTCAGATCTGGACGCTCAGTGGCCCAGGGCTTTGATGAGCGGTGCCTGAAGTGGGAGATGAGTGGGGAGGAGGTGGCAGAGGCTGGCTGACGCAGACGCTCTGTTGTGCCCTGGCAGCGCAGGTGTATGTGCTCAATGGTCAGTGATCAGGGAGAGAGTACTCGAGTACCTCCGTAGAGTGCAGCTCAGCTCAGTCAGGGCCGAGGTGAGGCACGCTGGGCTGTGGGGGAAGTGATGTGAGTAATTCAAAGTGAGGACATTTTCTGGCAGCCAGGGCACCCCGGAGCCAGCAAACCAGTCCAGTACATATTGGCAGCAATATCGTAAGGATCCGGGGGTTGAGACTCCATCAGAGACTCAGAGTCTTGGTGCAGATAGATAGACACGGCACGCGGTGTGGCACCTGTTTCTCTGTTTCTGTGTTTCTGTGTTTCTGTGCTCCTCAGATGCTGCTTGATCCATGTTGATCCTCGCGGCGAGGGCGGGAGGCGTTTAGTTGCCCATTCAGCTGGGTCTTGCGGTGCTTCAGAGGGGCTCCGGTCTACCCCTTCAGGGACTGGCAGGAGGCTACGTGTGCTGGGCTTGTCCTGAACGGGCAGCACTTGCACGGCAAACGTTGGGCAAGTGCAGTGCTCACTGTGCTCTACTGTATACAGTAAATACCCGTTAGCTGCGAGCGTCTCCTGGCTAGCTCGCGTCTGGTCGCCGTCGGTGACAGCGAGCGCAGACACAACAGCCAGTGGAACGGCGTCCCAGGCACGTACGTTTGGTACTCCAGTACAGTACGGTCGGGAAAAGATGCAAGAACCAAAAGGCCCGTCCCGACTGGAAGATGGTGATACCTCTACTACTAGGTTCGGCCTGGTGGACACGACTGATGTGCTGTCCATCTTTTTGGCTCCATGTCCAGTCCAGCTCCAGCTCCAGCATCCCAAGCATAGAAAGGGGTGTCTCTGGGTCCGTCCTCTGGTCCTCCTGTCCCGCGCATCTCTCCCTAGCTGCTGTCCCACTCCCTCAGTCTCCATACTCGTACATCCACAGGCACAGGATCTGCTGGTAAAAAGGAAGAAGCTGCTGCTGCTGCTCTGTTAGAGCCGCCTTCGGACGTGTGCCTCGAGTGGGACGAGGTCGCCGTTCATGCTTCCCCACCCCTCTGGGCTCTTCCGAATGCTCGGATCTTCCCTGTCTCCGTGACATGACGAATAAATGCCACTAAGGTTACTGGACTGGTGGACATTGGGACCAGGACCAGGACTGGGACAGACTGGACACAAGACACATGGACACACCTTGACGTCCGCTCGACGGTCCTCCCCCACCCGCCGTCCTAAACTCCCATCTAAGCTTATTATGATTATTGCTGTGTTGCTAAGTAACCCCCGCGCTTGCGGAACAATCACATTTCAAGATCACGAAGATCAAAGATCCAGATACTCGAAACTTTAAACCGCGGGAGCTTGACGTCTCCACTTGCTAGCACGGATGAACGACCTATTAGAGATGCATTCAGCGAGTCCTCCGTGGTCTTGCCATAGCCATAGATGACTTACCCACTGCGATCCAATTCACGATATAGATCCATGGGTTTGCGAATCACTGGTTCACCAAGTCTCTTCCACCTGGCTGAGATGGGATGGTTCCCAGGAAACTTATTCCTGCCAAAACAACATTCTCTCATTCACGGTGTATAGGCAGGGTCCGCGACGGGCAGCCAATGTCATTGCTCGAGTCTGACCGGCTTCTTGGGTCAGGCCCTGGTCCGTCGACGCATCTTGAAATGACGGGCAGTTCGGACAGACTATTTTCGTTGCCCTTGACGAATCACATTGTGACCACCGGTAGCGGAACCAGCAAATCGCTCTGGAAAACCGTTTTCCTTTTCCCGTACCAGAGATCCCAAAATACATAAGATTGTTGCAAGTATACCACCCTGTCATGATCCAGCTCTCGCTTGAGCATCAGTTACCACCCGACGATGAGAAGGGACTGCTGAGGGAGCCCGTAATGATCAAGGAGACGGTTGATGTCTGAGAATATTATCACATCACGACAAGAACGGGCTGCAACGGTAATAATGTCTTGTACTATTTGCTAGTAGTGGGGAGGTCCGTCCCTGTTAGGTGCCGATAGACGATCCGACCACGTCAACCGATCCAGCGGCGCTACAAAGGGCTGCTGACTCGAAAGGAACTTGGCTGCCCACAATGAGTTGCCGCCCGTTTCCTCTTTCAGACGCTGTATCAACTGCACATCCCTGGATAATCGAGATGCCCAAAAGATCTTCGTGGGATGGGTACGGTGACGGCAGTGCATTATCACTCGTTTTCTGAGCTCGGAGACAGATTCGGAGAGGTGTATCGCTCAGTGCGGGTTGAACAAGAAAGCCATCCTGCAGGTGGGAATTCTGTGGTGGTATTCATTTCGATATCGACCTCATCAGAGTGTCAGTACGGAGTAGTAGTACTCCTGACCAAAAGGCCCAAACCCAACAAGGGGATATCTGTGAGGGCACAGACTTCCAGCCCACCCCACAACTGGTTGATTGATATGTCGTGCGGAAGTCGATCTTGTGGGAACTTTGGGGACAAGGACCATAAAACCAGAACTTGGCACGGTGGTGGTGTTGTGGCTGAAGTCGCGCCGTTCAGGTCGGCGAGGTTGGGGCCCCTGGAATTACATTGTACATAACGCTGTTCCGCTGTTGCATATTGCAGCAGCGTACCCGTGACACTGCATTAGTCGCCTGAACTTGGAGCTATTATTCGCTCTTCCATTTGTTATTGTTGCTATTCCCCTTTTGCCTCGCCAACTTCGTTTTAGGAGGTATCGTGAGTCGTGACTCGTGTCTGAAACTTGGATCAAAATCTTCAGCGAAAGCTATTTGATTGCCCTACATGCGCCTAATTTCAGTGAACCAGGAAGAGCTAAGTACGGCTGGTCTGAGTGCGTCTAAGTTTGACACAATAATGTACAGTACTTCGCTCAAAAAGCCGTTAGGGTGCAGGTGCCAGAAGCGAAACCAATGCCGTTTTGACGTGGATTTGCGGGTGAGTGTGAGATTATGAGCTTATACAAACTTCCGTAGCTAATTTTTAATATTTAAGCATTTCGACGCTAATGGTGATGCTGTCCTTATGAGCGGCTGAAAGAGATAATGGAAGATCTTTTCGAAAATACAATGCTGAACAACTCCGTTATTATGTTGCACTGCTCTGGGAAAGCGCCAAATAACGTCCCATGTGGTTTGATTCGTCATTTCTTTAAGCCGCCATCTCGATGCATATCAGCAGTTTGGCTGCCAAACAAAAATATACTTCTACGTTCATCGTCTAGCGCACAGTTAGCGGTATCTATTCTCACATAAATTTGTATTTTAAGCAGGAACTCTCAAGTACAAGTTTACAATTTTTGTGCCTCAGGCATGGAAAGCCACTACAGATTAATTTTGGCTGAAAGTGTGGAGAAGAGATCCTCCACCAAAACATTAAAAAACGAAACATTTTACACAAGGACAAGCCCGTAGACTCCTGGTCGAGCATCCAAGCGGGTATTTTCCCAACTAGGACCAGGCCTACAAAGGAATTCCAAATATTCAACACTACTGTACATAGGTAGAGTTTCAGATAATCAAAGTCGGATAAATGACAGGATCAATCTAAGATCTTTAGTCGTGGCAGAGACTTGGTTTTCGAAGTCGATCGTTCGTCGAGGTTTGGGGTTCAGCCACTGAGCTCTGGCTTCTGGTAAAGGTCTAGGTATCCACGTGTATGTTACCCTGTACGTCTGCACGGCTCCTCGCGTTCCGATGAAATTGATGGCGACGCCCACAGATATGGCGTCGATCCTGCGCATGGTTTGCCATGATGTTCACCAGGTCTGGTACTGAAATGAAGAACATCGATGCCAGCAGTGTGGAGTATTGTTGTTGATGGCTGTTGTTATCATTGAGGGGTGGCAATAATACCAAACAGTGCAGGTGAGTTGGGAAATCCTCAAGGAGGCCATCCTTAATTGCGGGGAGGACTAGAGGGTTACTATCAATCAAAGCGTCACAATTTGTTGGGAGATAAATGTGATGGGGAGCTCGACAACCAGGCCCAGGGACCTTCCAATCTTGTCATCTCAATAATCGTTGCTGACCTGCAATCCTGGACTGAGGTTGTGAGAGGTTATTCTAATTGAGGCCAGGACCGTGCATTTGCGTTCACACCCGCTGTCCAATCTTGTGGAACGACGCGAAAGATGGGAAAGATGGGAGTAATGACCAGCTTGCGGGGACACCGTTGGAGTCTGGTGCCTGTATGGTGCCTGTGTGAGCGTTGGGTGTTTGAAGATATGTCGTTTGATGGGTAAGCGAGTGATTGGCGGTTGATAGGGGGGTGGGTCGAGGGTCGAGGCGGATGGTAGAGTGAAGTGGTGGCCGCCTTCCAGCACCTGAGGAATGCGGCGGGTATCGCTGTGTAGTATCACAAACAATATCATGCTGTTCGATTATTGTTCAGATGTTTATTGTGCATGAGGGTGATCTCCAAAGACAGCTCCAAACGGGCCCGGCTGCAGACGGAAAGAAACGACGGCAGGGCAGGTTGAACGCACAACAAAGCAGCATGGGAAGTTGCTTCTTCTGGGAGACTGAAAATACGAGGGCTGACTGAGGCCGAATCTGGAATGCACAATGGATGCTGATTTGTGCGGGCAGAGGAGTTTTACTCACAAACAAAGGGATCCACCAATAAAGCTCCATTGCTTGGACGAAATCCAGTAAACCATCCACCGCCGCAGCATGCCTTGCACTCACAGCATCTCACGGTATTTCTAAACCACAATTGGACAGTTCCAGCCATCAGTGCCGCTTTCCGGCAACAGCCCTCCGCTGTGCAGAGTCACGGAGAAACAAAACAACGACTTTCCACTCCCAGGGCACTGGCCCTCGCCTTGCACAAAGTCGTCCCGTGCTCTTGACCGCTTCTGGTCATCTTTAACGACGTTTCTCGGACGCTCGAGGCTTGCCCGTGTGCCGCAAAGCCTAGAATGGATGGCAAGGCCCCTAGCAAACATCAAAAATAGCACCCGCTCTTATTCCCTCCCTGTCAATAACAACGTTGAAGTTTCAATAATCTCACGATTTCCGGTGAAGTGAAGTTGCGAGCTGAAGCTGGCGGTTGAGATTCGTCAGTGTTGTCGAGGATCTTCTGTCCCGTTTGCGATTATTGGCGGGCACCATCCAGTCAATCTTGAATGGAGCAGTGAGCACACACCATTGGTCTGTTCCGCCCACCTTGTGTGTGCGAACGGCGCTTGTCTGAAAAGCGGTGGGCTTCATTGTTCTTTTCTGCGGGTCATTATTGAGAGTCAGCGTCTTGAACTTCACGATGATTCATTACTCGAGTGTATATAAGTCCGTAGTGGTATGAAAATCAACGGGTCGGTTCGGGTGAGCGATGCGAGAAAACCAGAGCTTTGCCCATTATCGGACGTTTTGCCTAAAGCGTAGAAAAAGATCTGCTTATTGCTCGCCAATCTCACATAAACGGTGCCAAGACAGGAAGCCTTCCTAGGCAGGTTAGTCCCGAAAGTGACCCGTACTGCTTTTGACGACCGTCTATCATGAAAATCAATAATATCCCGGAGCAGTCTAAGCTAGCCAAACGATTCCCGATGCGGTGATCAGCTATTATTGTCTCTTTCAAGATCGTGACACTTTATATTTCGTCGCATAATTTTAAAACAATGCCGCTAACCCGCCTTCCTTTTGTTGGCCACATCATCTCTGTAGCACATCCTATTCTGATTCGTCGAAGTACGAAATATCTTTTGGCTGCTAGAAGACCGAGGTGTCTCATGTTTAATGACTGCTTCGTCTGAATAGCATCGAGAGGAGAAAAGGCCTTGAACAAGGCCGTGCTGCGGTGCTTTGGTGTAGCTGACACAGCTTCCACCTCCAGTAACGCATATAGAAAGGTATGCGTCGCACTTTGGATATTGCTCGCCGATGTTCTATTGTGTTCGTTAGGGATTGTATCGA